AGTGTCACGGAAAGCTAGGATATTTTTTTACACGGGTAAATTTTCTCAAAATATTGGCATTTTTCGACCAAAATTGGATATCTCGATTTTGTTCAAATCTTTTTTGCCGCGGGTAAAGAATGTAAAAAAAGTAATTTCTGTGGTAAAAATGGAAGAAATTTTCAAAGAATTATAAAAATTAGGCCTAAAAAACTGAAAAATTGATGATTTTTTTATTTTTAGCCCCAATAATAAGACGGAATTGGCCTAAAATTTGTTACACGGGGGGTTTTTGGGGTCGCTACTTCCGAATTTGATGTCAGATTTACAAAATTCAAAATGGCGCATCCAATATGGCGACCAAAAATTTTGAATATTGACCATATTCGCTTGAAACTCGTTACTCGGGGGGTTTTTCGGGTCGCTGATTCTGAATTTGATGTCAGAATTACAAAATTTCAAAATTCAAAATTGATACAATAATAATCACACCCATACTATGCTATTTTGAATTTTCAAAATCTGACTTGAATATCGTAAACAGCGACGTTTAAAACCCCTGAGTAGCAGATTTTAAGTAATTTTAATTAATTTTTAAATTTTTAGAAAATTATCTGCCGCATTGGTAACGCCATTTTGAATTTTTGAAATCTGACTATAGATTCGTAATCAGCGATCCTCAAAACCCCTGAGTAATAATTTTTAAGTATTTTAAAATCATTTTTGCCATTTTTAAAAAAAAATTGTCCGCCATATTGGCTCGGACATTTTGAATTTTTGAAATCTGACTTTAGATTCGTAATCAGCGACCCTCAAAACCCCTGAGTAATAATTTTTAAGTATTTTAAAATCATTTTTGCCATTTTTTAAAAAAAATTGTCCGCCATATTGGCTCCGCCATTTTGAATTTTTGAAATCTGACTTTAGATTCGTAATCAGCGACCCCAAAAACCCCCGATTAACAATTTTTAAATCATTTTTGCCATTTTTTGAAAAAATCGTCCACCATATTGGCTCCGCCATTTTGAATTTTTAAAATCTGACTTTGGAATAGTAATCAGCGACCTTAAATACCATAGTAGCACATTTGCACAAATTTTAGTCATTCAAAAATTTACTGACATTTTGTTCTCACTTATGAGATATTGGCCTCGACTGCGAAGGAGTTAAAAACTCAAAATGAGTCAAAAACAGATAATTTTTTTTTCCTGTGTAGTAAAAAAATAATTTGTTTGTTCCGCAAATATTAAATTTGTACAATAATAATAATTTGAAAATAAGCGATAAAATGGTAATATATATATATATATAACATATATATTAAATCGGATTTCATAGAGAATTAAATACCATTTGACTGACTGAGTAGGCAAGTACAGTGGTAGGAGGGGGGGGGGGAGGGTTGAGTTCGCCGCACCCTCTCTATTTTGAATTTAAGCGTGAACGTGACAGTTGGTTTATCCGATCCACAGAATTGATGGGTTGGTCGTCCGCGCTCAGTGCCAGGAAATTAGGAAAATAATTATTATCCGCGCTTGGCACTCATGGGTACGTTCATATGCGCATGTATCGTACTCCACTTCCACCCCCTTAGCTAACCCCCCTCCCCACTTTATATCCAGCCTCCTCTCTCTCTCTTTCTCCCTCCTTCATTGAATCTCGTTCTTTCTGTCTATTATATATATATATATATATATATATATATGATTACCTTTTGCTTTTGGCTTTCTCTATATCTCTATATATATATGAAAATCTCCCCCGCCTCCGCTCTCTCTGTCCTTTCGCAGGATGTCGGACTTTCGATCGTTGATATTAACTGAGCGCGGAATTTTCGCGCTTTCATCCCGGCTTCACTCGTTTTGACAAAACCACTGTCACAAATGGACTTCCCTACCCCTTCCTCTTTACCCCTCCATCTCTTTTCAACTGCAATGCACTGGTATGTATATATATATATATATTCAGTCGCAAGTTGAGGGACATTGAACCGGCAAAATCGTTTAAAAACGTCGAGGTGCATGCAGACTAAAAGCATTGAAAATGCAAGAGAATCATTGCAATGTTCACTCGGTGGAATGAAACTTGGGATTTTTTTTTATTTACCCCCCCCCTCTCTCGTGGCCACAAAAACAAAAAAATTATTCGAATGTTCTAGATTTCAATACGTATATATATATATATATATATATATATATATATATATATATATATATATATATAGTGACGTTCACAATACTGTGAGAATGCGCATATTAAAGTTGATAAGACAAAATTCAAAGTGTCATGCGATCATGTGAAATAATTCTCTTTTATTTTTATTTGCATATGATAGTCAAGAATATATATATATATATATATATATATATATATATATATATATATTTAAAACAAATTTTGCTTTTTTCACGGTCAACAAAAAAACAAGGGATATTTAAAAAAATGAAAGCTGCAGTTTATTGTCATGGTTTTTAGACTGATTACGAATTTGGCATTAGATGTTTAAAAATTCAAAATGGCGGTTCCAATATGGCGGAGAAATTTTCTGAAATTGATTGAATTCTCTTGAAACTTGCTACTCAGGGGTTTTTTGGTTTCGCTGATTACAAATTTGATACTAAATTCGCACCAAAAACCACCGAGTAACAAGTTTCAAGAGTAAATCCAATTAATTTTTAGAAAAGTTTTTCGCCATTTTGAATCCGCCGTTTTGAATTTTAGAAAACTAACATTGTTTTCGTAATCAGCGAACCCAGAAAGTCTAAAAATTTCGATCGATTTTTAAAAATAACGTCCGCCATTTTGGATCCGCCATTTTGAATTTTTAATATATTTCATCCGATTCGTACACTGAGAAAAAAGGTTTGAGCTGACAACCAAATATTTCATTTAATATATGTGCAACTAAAATTTTTTGGTTGACACAACTAAACTTTAGTTGACATCAACCATAGTTTGGTTGAGACTACCAAATTCTTTTTCATTTTCTTATTTAGTCGTCTGAAACAAACTTTGGTTGTTGTCAACTAAAATTTAGTTGTGTCAATCAAAAAATTTTAGTTGCACATATATTGAATGAAATATTTGGTTGTCAGCTCAAACCTTTTTTCTCAGTGTAATTAGCGACCCCAAAAACCCCCGAGTAACAAGTTTCAACCAAATTCAAACCATTTTCAAATTTTTATTGTCCGACATTTTAGATCCGCCATTTTGAATTTTAAAATATTAACCAACTAAACTAAGTAAATCTTTAACAGGTATATTTATAAATTACAAATATCTTTTTATAACCTTAGGGTTATTAGGATACGAAACAATAAAATATGTATCGCCACCCCAAAGAAAAAATTTCTTTGATTCAAAGAAACCAATTTCTTTGACTCGTTTTCTTTCATTTAGGTAAAATAAAATTTTTTTTGTAACAAAAAAAAAACTTCTTAGTTACAAAGAAAATTTCTCTGACTAAAAGAAATCTTCTATTATATTAAGTTAACAAATTTCGAAAAACGACACCGACCCCGTGACCTCGACACCGTCCTTGAAAAATCTATTTTCAATTATTTTCAAATAAATCAAAATACTTTGCATATATGCTTTTAGAAAATCTTACAAACTATTTTTATGTAACATCTTTTTTCAATTTTAACCCGAAAAAGGGTTATTTTGCAATTTTTTAAGAATTTTTTGATTTTTTCAATTTTTTATTATTTTTTTTTATTATTTATTGTTGTTTTTTCAATTTTTAGTTAGTAACCTATAATATTGTGTCTAATTTTAAGTGTCATTAAAATCAAATGTTTTTAACTTAATAATTTTAACTTAATAATAGAAGATTGTTGTCATCATTATAATAAAAATAACATCTAATATTTAACAATTTTCATTTCTTTCTTCAATGATACTGATCAAAATTAAGATAAATTTTATACAATATTAATAAGATATTAATTTAAAACATAAATTATATATATAATATTCATAAACTATATTAAGTAAACAAAAATAAGTACAACTATAACCGAGCAAGCGTTAGCGAGCGAGGAATACATCGCTAGTTTATGCATTAAATCAAAGAAATTCTAACATTGATATTGGATCAAAGAAACATTTATTATTTGAATTAAATAAAAAATTTCTTTGAAACGAAGAAAATTTTTTTTTTTAATAAAAAATAATTTGTTTTAAAACTCAGTGCGATTCCAGGTGAGATTTTGACTTTTTCGGAGTAGGTTAACCGATTGCAATGAAACTTTGAAATTTTATTATTAGTAAGACTAATCTTTAATGTAAATTGCAGCTTAAAATATTTTTTTTTACTTTACGAGATTTGCAATAATAACAAAAAAATTTAAACTTAATCTTCCGTTCTAATAATCGGATTGAGGTCTACTTTTTTTTTTTTAAATTTCAAGGAAAATGAGAGGAATAAATCTCTTTAAGAACAATTTTTTGTAATTTTACAACTAAAAAATTATTATTAGTAAACTAACAAATATGTTAAGCTGCAATTTACGTTAAAGATTAGTCTTACTATATATAACAAAATTCCAAAGTTTCATTGCAATCGGTCAACCTACTTCGAAAAAGTCAAAATCTCATCTGGAATCGCACAGAAATAAATTTTTTTGTATCAAAGAATTCATCAATTAAATTGATTTCTTTGAATCAAATAAAATTGTTCAAAATTCTTAGAAATATATTATTTTGACATTTTTGAGGACGCTAATTACAAATCCAATGTTAGTTTTACAAAATTCAAAATGGCGGACGTTTTTTTTAAAAATTGTTCAAAATTCTTGGAAGTTTATTTCTGGATACTAGATCCAGAATATGTGCCAAAATAGGATTGGGGATATCTTTAGAAGAAAATTAAAAGAGATTTTAATTACAATAAAAATTTAACGAATGGTTCTCAAAATGTGAATATTTTTTTATTAATATTAATGCGAAACGTTTTTTTTTTTTTTTTTTTAATGAGAAATAATAAATATTATCTTTATTTTAATGAATATTATCGTTACCTTTTATATTGAATCTTGTATTAAATCGTCCGATCATTCTTGGAGAGGCATCACTGTATATATACGCAATAGTGACATGGACATTGGATACATAATCGAGCAATACAACTTATTGCTACTCTTGATTTAGATTGTGCGTGCAGTTTGCACACCTCTCACTATTGTGAAATCTAACATATACACGGCTACATACTTAAATGTAGATCGAGTTAAGTGTTCTTGATTAAATAGAAATAAAAATACAATGTGACAAAAAAAAAGAAAAGTAAAACTCAATATTGAATTATAATACTTATATATAGAAATTCAATCTTTTTATCATTCGAGCAAAATGCAATTATATGTTAATTTAAAAATAATTTTGAATTCAAGAAGCTAAATGGAATTGAGAAGAAAAATTTGACAATTTTCAAAATTTAAGGCATATATACTTTGGTTGCTTATTACGAATCTGATTTCAGATTTAAAAAAAATTCAAAATGGCGGATGCAATATTTTTGTTTAAATTCTCATCCATATTGCATCCGCCATTTTGAATTTTTAAAATTTGACATTGGATTCGTAATCAGCGATCCAAATACCCCTAGAACCGAAGGTAATAAAAATTTTGAGTTACTTGTTTCATTAGACATGTTTTTTTGAGGTTAGAAAAAAATCCTGACGTGATGGAACAAATCGGACCTCAGATTTGTATTCAGCACATCAAAATACGTGAGAAAATCATATTCTGGTTTCCCATTTCAAATATATTTTATGTTTTAACAAACATACACTATGTTATCAGTGATAAAAACTTGTTCGTTGACTTCATCTTTTTACAGAACAACATTTTACTTTCTCCTTTTTTAAAGACAAACTTGATTTATAACTATACGCAGATTGTTATATACTGATGACCTAAAAAAAATTAATTTTCTAAGTGAAAATTTTTTTTTTGAATTTATTTTATTTAATTAATAATTACTTCTTATTTTTAGAATATAATATTCTAACTGTATATAAGTTTAGAATACTGTATATAAAAAAAAAATATGACAAAAATATAAATTTTCTAATTTTTGTTTCCGTTTGTTGTAGGTAAGTCACCAACATTTCCGCATGATTCTCGTTGTATATAGTGAGTATATTAATCTTGATCTTATTTTCAAAAAAAAGCTATTTCCAAAAAAATACTATTATAATTATTTAAAAATCGTAACAAAAAATAATTCAGTGGGATAATGCTTTTTCGAAATAATTTTATCTAAAAATAAGAAAAAATATGTAAAACTTCTTTTATTGCTGAAATAATTAATCAAAAGAGATTAATTCGTTTATGAATCAATCCATATTAATGAATAATTAATTATTGAGATGAAATGTTTTAAAGTTTTAAATAATAGTAACTGCTTTTAAAAAAAAAAATGTGGAATTTTAAAATTGTAAAATTATAATTTGTTGCATTTAGATTCCACTTAATTTTTCAAATCGAAAAAAAAAATTTACGTGAAAATTCAAAAACAAAATTTAGATTTTATATTCTGACGAAGAGAATTGACTTTATATAACACACACTAACCACATGTCTACCGAAAGTCTTTGTTGCAATTTGAAATCCAACAATTCTAGAATGAGAAAATAAAAGAAAAAATTGGATAAGCTGTTGTTTCGAAAACCACAATTCCAGAAATTCAATCCAAAATCTAATTGAAATTCAACCTCATTTAAATTTAAGTCTAATTTACATAATTTCACTTTGTTTCTATTTGAAGAAATAGATTTCTCTCAATAAAATGTTTGGAGGGGGCGGGAAAGAGCCTCGGCAAAAAGTGCCCCTTTTTTGTACCTCGAATTTTGAAACTTTTTTTATGCCAAATGGTTACATATGATGACCCAATAATCCCTGCAAAAATTTCAAGATGAGCATGTGCCCCCTTTCCGAAATACAGGGGGTCAAAGGGGGCCATGTCCAAAATTAGAATATGCAATATAATCGAATAATAATGTTAAAAAAAATCAGACCAAATGGTTCCCTTAAGATTTTCGTCTGCTGATTACGAATCTAAAGTCCGTTTTTAAAAATTTAAAATGGCGGATCCAATATGGCGGACGACATTTTTAAAAATCGATCCAATTGACGTGAAAATCGTTACTTGGGGGTTTTTGGGGTCGCTGATTACGAATATGATGTCCGTTTTTAAAAATCCAATTTTGAAATTTTAAAAACGGACATCATATTCGTAATCAGCGACCCCAAAAACCCCCGAGTAACGATTTTCAAGTCAATTGGATCGATTTTTAAAAATGTCGTCCGCCATATTGGATCCGCCATTTTGAATTTTTAAAAACGGACATCATATTCGTAATCAGAGACCACAAAAACCCCCGAGTAACAAGTTTTAAGTCAATTGGATCGATTTTCAAAAATGTCGTCCGCCATATTGGATCCGCCATTTTGAATTTTTAAAAACGGACATCATATTCGTAATCAGAGACCCCAAAAACCCCCGAGTAACGATTTTCACGTCAATTGGATCGATTTTTAAAAATGTCGTCCGCCATTTTGAATTTTTAAAAACGGACATCATATTTGTAATCAGAGACCCCAAAAATATCTTACAAAAAGAAAAAGACATAAACTAATTTCAAAATTAAAAATTTTTTTTTTACTTTAATCGTAATAATCACTTTTTTTAATTATTATTAATTTTTATAAAATTTTGAAAATAATTGAGTTTTACAAAGAGTCACAATTGAAGTTATATTTACAAATAAACAAATATTACATTTTTTCTGTGTTATCTTCTTAATTTTAGCTTGAATCGAAATATTAAATTAATTAAAATGTAATAATAGTAGTAATTGACAAACCAGTTCACTTAATTTTTAAACTTAAATTTTCATCGGAATAAATATCTTTAATAATAACATAATGTATATTGACTTTCATTATTATATACACTTTATTTTTTATTGTTTCAATTTTCATTTATAAATAAATTGTCAATGCTGTTAAATTAAATTCTGATATTAAATTTTGAATTTCTTTGTTTCTTAATCACCAGATGGCGCCCTATTACTTAGACCAACTTAATAATCATAATCTTGACGAGGATCATTTTGATTCACTTGAAGTTTGCCAATGAATCATTTTGATCCGGAACTCAGAATGATACGCAGCAAAACTGAATCCAGGTTTTTTACTGTGATATGCTCTTACTAATGCATTTGTACTAGTTTTTAAACCAAAAGGTACTACATTGAATAAATAACATTTTCCTTCAATAATAAATCTCGTGTATTGTTTACTATTTTCTGCTAACGGAATTTGCCCAAAAGTACTGACTAAATCTAATGAAGACTTTTTTTTAACGCAGTACAAATTTGACTTATAAATCTAGTACTCATTCTTTTTATAATAATTAATTTTAATAAGTTTTCTAACTCTTTATTTATTCTATCTTCTAATTTGATTGGTATTGGATATGTTTTTTTTTAAAATGGTTCACTTCTATAATAATTCTTGATTTCCTTTCATTACTACAATAATATAATTTCTAAAATCAATTTTAGTTTTTAATATTTTTAACATATCTGAACCGATAATACAATTACAATTTAATTTAGGTACAATATAATAAAAACAAATTTTTCTAACCAATTAATCCTTTTGTGAATTTGGCTAAAATTTGAAGTTTTAGTTTTACAGGTCGCGTGTTCCGTTTGCACCTACTATTGATAGAACAATTTTCAAATGTTTTAATATTTTCTTCTTTAAAATTTTCTGAAATACAAGTTACTTGACTACCAATTACTAGTTACTACTACTACTATTCCATTAATGCTTATATTTTCTACTGGGAATTGAATTATACAATCCTTTTTTATCACTTCTATCTTCCTTGATTTGTCAATTTTTTCTACTTATTCCAGAATAGTTACAATTTTAGAATTACAAAGTACGTTCCCATAAACGTAAATCGAGTAAAATGTCACCAAAACAAATTTTCTAATTAAGGTAGCAACTTCCCGTCACCAAAATCAATATAGAGAAGTGGTGGTAAATTATCTTGGGATTAGATCAAGTCTTTGAGAATTTTGGTCCACCAAGTTGAGGAAGAGTAGTATATATATACATATATATGGGGGGATATTCTCGTTTTCTATTGCGCTTGGGTTGCCATCCGCCCGCGGTCAAAACTCATTCTGTGCTTTGCTATATCATCCTTCCCCTTAAATCCCGTCTCTTTCGTAGTCGTCTCCCTTTCCGTATATCTTGCTCCATATCCGAGTTTGTTGGACCCCCCACTGTATGGCAATCCTCCCCCCAGCCCCCCTTTTTCTATATACTAACAGTGTCTCTCACCTCTATCTCCCTCTCTCACCCTTTTGGTGGTTCTGCTTAAGGTTCTTACGCTGCGCCACCACTGGGATCGATATCCCAGGAGGCCAAACAGTAAACAGCCGGTTGGTCAGGATGGAGCCTTGACGGTGCGATGGCATGGCATGGCGGTAGTGTCAGTGTCGGTGCGTCAAGACCCCTCACCTTCACCCCTACCTCTCCCTCTTTCTCTCCCTCACCCCCCTACCTTTCCTACTCTCTCTCTCTCTCTCTCTCTCTCTCTCTCTCTCTCTCTCTCTCTCTCTCTCTCTCTCTCTCTCTCTCTCTCTCTCTCTCTCTCTCTCTCTCTCTCTCTCTCTCTCTCTCTCTCTCTCTCTCTCATTCTCTGTAATGGTGCGCGCTGCTCTGCTCGCGCTTAAGGGATAGGAGTTCAATGTGCGAATTGCTGCATGGATTCCATGGCTTGGAATCACCCACGTTTGGCTCGTTCTACATTAAACGTTTTGTCTTGTTTACTTCCTCCCCTTTCTCATTCTTCTCAATTCCCTAAACTCTCTTTCGTATAAGATATAAGAGAAAATTTACACTGAAAAAAATTTTTTCGAGAAATTCAACTACCTTTGGGTAGTTGACTAGAAAGTAGTTAAAATAACTACTTTTTTAGTTAATCTAATCATGTTCATGTAGTTAATGTAACTATTTTTAAGAAGTTAATAAGTAATAGTTGATTTTACGTAAATATGTATAGTTAAAGTACAACTACAGGTCGGTAGTAAAATTAACTTTCT